TCGGCTTTTATTGGGAATATTTTTTTTTATCTTTTTCATTTTATTTATATGCCATTTGTCGAACAACATTTTCTATATAAACGTGTATAGATATATATATATATATACCATATATATTATATATGTAATACTTACATAAGTATTTGCGTATCAATATCGATTTACATCAAAACGAACAAGTTTTCAAATGGAAAAAGACATTTCATGAGGTTTTGTCGAATAAGAATATTACTTTTGGTTTTATCGGTAAAAGTTTCGAAGATACGATCGAAAAGTTTATCGAATCAATGTGGAATCATGAAACGAAAACGGTCACCATGTTCTCGATAAATTCGGTTAACGGAAAATGATCTAAGAGCATAAAACAAGACAGGGTATAAAACTTTACTTCAAAATAACGTTGCATGCGAATTGACAAACGTAAAACGATGCACAAGAAAAATATATTTTATTGATGAAATATATAATATATAACTTTAACGAAAAAGATTTTCTCAAATATACTATAATAATTAGTAATATAAAAAATCAATATATTCTTCGAGTTTTATATATTACGTATAATACAATAGTATATGCAATGAGCGTTGAAATTTTGTTATTCCAATTTTATCTCTATTTATTTATTCTTCTTTTTCTTTTTTAATTTAATATAATTTCTACAAATTATAGATATCATACATTCAGAAGCATAAATTTTTTGAAAACTTACTAAAAAGAAAAGAAAAATCACAACTACGAGATAAAAATTAACAAAATCCTATTTAATTCTAAGAACTCAATTAAAAATTGCTGCTAAGTTTACTTTTACTATTTCTTAATCTTACCACAAAAGCAATAGCAATCAAATTTCTAGCAATCATAAGTTTTTTTCTACATTTTATTAATACAATATATTTCAAGACATTTTTCGTTTATTTTAATTGTAAGTAAAATTAGTTTCCCTTTTCAAAAGCTGCACTCTCGCGAGTACTTATAACTTTTACTTTTTACTTTTAGCTTACTGTATATACGTGATATACTTAAATACATAAATCTATACTATATATTATATATAGCTAACTGTAAAGAAACGAGAAACTAAAAGACGACTCTCTTACGATTTGCTAAACTTTAATAAATATACCTATTCGTACAATAAAAAAAGGAAAGGAAAATAAAACTAACCCGACCTGAAATCAACATTTAATACGATGATAATAATATACATATATATATATACACACACACATACATACTAAACGAACGTATTAAACTTTTCAATCAAGTTGTTACAATAATCTCATTATTATTATCGTGGCTTTTAATTAAATATAAAAAAAAAACAAAAAGGAACATTTATAATTTGAAACGTAATATTCTTTTGGTTGTTTTTCTCTTTTTTTAATTAAAAAATAAAAACACTTTACACGGTTTATTTTTCGTGCTGCTGCTGTTGCAAAAAGAAAAACTTTTCCACCTGGTCTACCGACAATAAAATTAATCGAAGAATTGCAATTGACGGCTGGCGTTCAATTAAAAATTTACGAATGTAAAAGAATTGTTAATTAGAATATACGATGTGTAAGGTAACGTTGAAAGATAAGTTGTGAAAAGATTATTATTAATAAAGAAAAAAATAGTATAGAAAGATAAGATAACCGCGAAGAATGAAAGATATTTCACGATAAGAGAAAAAAAAAGTAAAAAAATCCATCGCGAGGTTAAATTAACGATAAATTGTTCGACGTTAAATTAACAATCCATTAAGTTGAGTAAACGAACACCGCCAACACAGTTCAATCAGGATCCTCATATCAAACCTTAAATAAAGATAATCAAAGTTCGTTCGAGTGAGCTCGTACCAGAAATGAAAAAGACAAAGAAAGAAGAAAAATAGAAAGAAAAAAGAAACCTACTTTCACATTACTGAAAACCACGTCCGAATTTAAAACGTTACGCAGTTCTTTTCTACTCTTTAATAAGAAAAAGAAAACAACATTTTATTTTACACATACATACATATTAAAAAATATCGATAATAGATACATATATAATATATTGTCCTGTTGATTACATAAACAAAAAAAAAGGTTCATTTTTAAAGAAGAAATTGATGAAAGATACTTCATTTATCATCGTAACGTAAATTGTTCTTTCCATCTGACAGTGAATCGTAAAAACTCAATCCCCCCTCCTCTCTACTCCCGTTTGTTTCTTTTCATTTTTCTTTTCAAATATATGTACATATATAATATATAATGTATTTCTATGTAATTTAACTTTTCGTGTTCTTTTCTTCTTACTCCTTCTCGAATTTGACGTTGGTATAAGGAAGGCAAAATTTTTGACCAATCAATCATTTAAAATCTGACAGGAGTTGTAAAGTTTTATATATTCTAGAAAAGAAACAATAATTTTCTTTTCGAAAAGAAAAAAAAAATATAAAGACAAACGTATTAGTGGATTAATTATTTAATAAAGAATTTCGAGATCCAGAGTAAAAAATAAGAAAAGAAAAAAGTGAATAATTGCAATTTGTACGAATTATCAAACGATCATTCGACTTTCTTCATTAGTCATACAAACTTATAGATAAACTATCAGTCGCAGTTAAATTTTAAACGATTGTTGTTTCTTAACAAGCAAAGTTTATCCATTGAGCTTTTGATAGAGTTCCAACTTTACATCAATAATCAAGATTACGATGTCGTTGAATACCAACCAAATGCCAAGTGTTATTAGAAAGTTATTATTCTAAATTAAATAGGAAACTTTTCCGTTGAAAAGAATCAAATATAACAATAATAGAATAAATGAATGAGATTGGATTTTTATTGAAAATGTTTCTTTTCTTCTTTTTTTTTTTTTTTATAACCATTTAGAATTTTTATTTTATTCCAAGCGTAGAACAAATCTTTTGTATTTTTTTTTCCTTCTTTCTTTTTTTGCAGTTATACATTTTTATTTTACGCAAAGTGTAGTGCAAGCTTTTTTTTTTTTTATTTTCTTTTTTTTTCACGTTTATGCAAAACTTCCGACGAAAAGAATAAAAACATAGCGATGCGTTAGACTATATTAAAATGAATAAATCTGAATTTTTATATATCGAATTTTTTAACTATTTGGAATTTTCATTTTGTTCAAAGTGTAGTGTAAATCTTTTGGTTTTGTTTAGTTTGCAATTATACATAACTTTTATTCGAAAATAATCACAACAATAACGATATATTATAATAAAAGGATAAGTGAATTTTTATTCTTGTATTTGTTTAGAATCCTTTCGAATTTGTATTTTATTTAATAATACGTGTAGTGTGTTTATTTCGTAAAATTCAATTAACTTTCTTTAATCCTTCTGATTAGCCCCTAGTAGTGTTTCAGTAGAAGTAAACAAATGGACAAATTAATGTGACATGATTGTGCAGTTGTAACAGTAACGTATTCAAAATCTTCAGATATTGTAATACAACCAAAGCAACTATCTAACATTAATTCATGTACATTCGCTTCTAAATTCAACAATTGGTTACCATTCGTCAGCTAATATAGTTGAAGGGTTTGGTGTCTATCATACATGTGTAGCATACAAATGTTTTGATTATCTCTAGTGTGACTTGACTTGTTGTATTAAACCCACAGATAACAATTTTGTCAATCGTGTATGTTAATAAGATAAAAAACTTTCATGACGACAAAAATAATCTTTCCAAAAATAAAGATAAACGGTGATACGTAAAACACAAATATTAATTTAATGTAATTAATTTTAATTCAGGATGATATATGAAAATAACATAAAAACACCTCTACAAATCTCATTATCAATCGTACGTTAATAAAAAAAGAAAAAAAAGATTTAATGACGACAAAAATAATCATTCTAAAAATAAAAATAAACGGTGATACATATTAAATCGTAATTAATATAAAATAAAAACAAATGAGATAATTCAAAGTAATTAATTATAAAAATTAAAAACGATATATATAATATATAATATAAAATAAAAATAAATTTTTCAATTAAATTCATGTAAGATTATACGAACAATATCTAACATAAGAGAAATAAAAAGAAGAAGAAAAAAGGAATAAAACGATATAGAACGAAAAAATTTGTTTTTACATTCGAAACGAATAGTAAAAACATGTCATCTCAAATCCCTTTGAATGTTGTTATTGTTGTTGTTGTTGTCGAAAATCCGTGATCTTCATTTTAAAAGAGGGGTTGAAGTTACCCTTCTACTACGAACGAGATAGGAAAAGATATTTCCCCACCGCGAACGCGAAGGAATTTACAATCTCTCGTGTTAAATTGCTGAATCGTTTGCTCGTTTGTTCGAACGAACGAACGAACGAACGAACAAACTAACTAACGTACGAAAGAAAATAATACCGAAAGGTTTTGATCTATTGAGAACCGGCGGCCATTTTCCATTTATAGGAAATTCGTCGATGAATAAAAGCACCAATATCAAGCGATACCTACGCCATCGTAAAAATTGACCAGGCAGCAGAAAACGAGAAGCAGTTTTACAATCGTAAAAAATATACTACTACTCCCCTCCCCCTCCTCCTTTCTCTTTCTCTCTCCCCTTTTTTTTATATTATTATTCCTTTTATTGTTAGCAAGTCACCGTTACTTTCAAAAGCTACATCATAACTCGATATGACCAATCGTAACTATTCGAGAACACTTTATCCGATAAATCGGATAAAGTTTTACTTTTCTATTTACACAAATTGAACCTTTTCATATATATATGTATTCACTTTTTCCATATAGATATATGTTTTGTAAGACCTTTACAATATTCGAATCTGCGAATCGGCGTTTCTCGACAATTTTGTTCTTTTCGTTTCTTTTTTTCTTTTTCTTTTTTTTTTTTACGACTGTGTGTCATTGCCTCGAAATGTCACAACCGAGAGAAAAGTCAGGAAAAAAAACACTTCGGTTGGTATATTACGTAGACGCGATATAAAGCCAAGTTGGTACTTCATCCGTGTGCTAGATTAAAAATTTTTAGTCGACGTTTTCAACAAAGCCACGAAATCCCTCCACGTTATGTCATTTCGAGTTCTTTGACCTAACAACTGAAATCACATGGAAAAAAAAAAGAAAAAGAAAGAAGAAAAATGAAAGAAAACGAAACGACAAAAATAGACCAACTGTCCCCCCCCCCCTCTATTTCTTCTTCATCCACTTCAATTTTATTTCTCATAATAACCAGCATTTTATTGTGTTCATAATTGTATATTTAATTCGTGATTAATGCTTCAACATAATCAACAAAGAAATATTAATAAATACGCGATATATTAAATTAAAAAATTTAATTTTTAATTACATATTTTATTTTTCGTGCTGCAAAGTGACACAGTTATTAATAATAAATCATTATCCTTTAAATCATATGATAATTTTATCACGATTAAATGTCATTCTCTATTTTTCTCTCTTTCTCTCTTTATATTTGTCTTTTAGAATTTACAAAGATTAGTATTCAAGCGTCAATCTTGATCCATCCGGTTCGTTCGGTTTTCCCTTCAATATGGAATTAGACGAGTAAATTGGGTGCATGTCTCACGAGAATAGGTTCACTATAATACAACTTCTAACTATAATAACGTTGTACAGTGTCTTAGGTACAGGTTGTTCATTATTATCCGATCGAATTTTCTTTGAGCTTAGACGATATCTGATTATCTGACCATAATTATGTTTTACTTGCAGTATGATGCTACTTCACCGGGAAAAGGTGGCGGTGGTGGTGAATATAACGTTCAAGAAGGTTTCGGATGGACTAACGGCATTGTTTTTGAATTCTTAAAAACATTTCCGGATATGAAAATGAGCAATAATGTTAACAACGGCGAACCAAGTGTCGTTGACGTTAATAATAACGCGTACGATCACAACGACGTTAAATAATGATCCAGGTAAATTGCAAATAAAAATTGAATTAAAAAAAAAAAAAAAGAAGTGTGTGTGTGTCCCTCTTGAAATAATGTAACTTTATTTTAAACATTTTGTCCATAAAACTAAACGTAATAGAGAAAAATATTTTTTAAAGTACAATAAGTATGATAGGTATATATATATGAGAATACTTCGAAACTAATTTAAATTAGATAAATAATATCGCTCGAAAGTATTTTACGAGATACGATAGTAACAAAAAAAAAAAGTATCTTACGTTAGTGAATGTTCATATTTCTTCTTTCAAGTCACGATGTTTCATTCGTTCTTTTTTTCTTTTTCTTCTTCTTCTCGGAAAAGTAGTTACCGATGTGTACGTGAGATTTACGCTAGAGTTATATTTCTAAATGCCCCTCGACTTGCATTTCTTTATTCGAATAATTCCTAGTTATTCTCAAAACGTTTCTGTCAAAGAGGAGGAGAGAAAACGATCTCGAGATATATATATGAATTTATTCAAGGTGCATAAGATGTATATATATACGCGAAACTCAACGAATAATAATAATGTTAAATTTCTTTTCAGGATTACAGGATACCGTGCCAAACGTGATTTTGCCAATGAATCTAGTCCATAAGCAAAATAGGACAGCAAAGTTACCAAATTAAATTTTAAAAACTTTATTCTATATATTATATTATATTATTATCTTATATTGTCTTTACACTGTCTAAAACAAAGTATTGCAAGCCTCGCATCGGTATGTTGTGTTATGTATGCGTGAATAAGTATAAAAGATAAGTACAGTTGAAGAAATAGTGTGGAAGGTTCTAACGTCAGTAAATAGTGTATATGTGTGTGTGTGGTTGTGTATGTAATTAACAGCCGAGAAAAGTATTGAAGATTCTCGAGCTTACACTAAATTGTGTTATATTTTGCGTGATGCAATGTGCATTTATCTACTAGGAATGTATATATTTTGTACTTATATTTTGTTCAAATCAATACTTGAACACAAATTGTATAATATATGTACATATATATATATGTAGATTACATATCCCATATAATTATATACATATGTAATAAATTAACTATAATTACACACTTAGGAGAATAAAATATAATTTATTTTACTGTAATATATATATATTATGCATTATCAACGTAACTTATTACTACGTGATTTATTTCTTTTACCCTTAAATATTAACCTAAATATTTTTTGTTTCGGTAAAATAATTAATTAATTAAAAATCAAATTTATATATATTATAATAAAAAAAAGGAGGAAACAAATGAGTACGCTGTTATTTTTTAAATTTCGCGTTATACGTTAAAATATAACAAATTTTTATTCGATCTAAATATAAGAAAACATCTTTCATTTCTTTTTCCATACTTTTTCTTTCTTATTTTTTATTTTTCTTTTTTTCTTAAAACTGGGCTCGATTTATTTTCCTCATTACTATCTTCGCTTCATTAGTCACAATGTTTCGCGTTACGCGTTCTTGCAGCAGTTTCAAAGTCGAAATGCGGAAGTTTACGTTAGTTATAGTTTCTCAATCTAAACTTGTTATAATAGCAGCTCCTTAAATAAAGGCAAAAATGTGCAACGAAAAACTTGGTTATTAGTTTATTGTTTCTCTAGACGATATTGTTCGTTAATTAAATGCAAATAAGTGATAAGCATCATAAATATGTACGTTCGTTAATTATATATAAGTATCAAATCTTTGAACCTTTGAAATCGGTAATTGAGCGTAAAAAACTTTGTTTAACTCTGAAAAAAAAAAACATCTAAATATGACTTTTTGATTTTGTTTAAATATTAAACACTTTTCGAATTTAATTTGCTAAATTAAGTTTCGATCATTAGCAATTTCTACGACATTTTCTATTTGATAAAAGTGAAGGAGGAGCAAAAGTACGCGAAAAAAAAAAACAAACAAAAAAAAAAGAAAAATTAAGAGAATTAATAAAATTAGAAAACCTACTGAGAATTCCTAGTTCTATTATATATAACTTCTTTCAACGTTGTACCGTAAAATCCAAAATAAAACATAAATTAACGCATGCCCTTCCTTCCTTCTTTTTTTTTTCACTTTTCACCGTAGTATTCTTTATTCATACACATTAAAACTTTATCATATATATAATATGTAAAAGAAAAAAGATTACAAAACATTGAAAGATAAAATATTATGGCGAAGCAAAAGTTCGTGTTATAAATTGTATTATAAATTGCATAATGGTTGTTTTTTTTTGTGTAAAAATTTACTTTGGAAATATTAATATTAAAAAATGCACGAACTTTTGGTTCACCCTAATAGCAAATATCCCAGGAGAGCAATTTCATCCAAATCTCAATGAAGGTTTCGTTTAATTCTATACTATCGCATAGCAATTTCCGGTATTGTCAAATTATCATTGTGATTAACGACAATAACCAAATCGTTTTGCCTTAAGGTTTCTCTTATAGGAAACTATACTCGTAAAGCCAAAGTATCATAACCATTTACGTTTTACGAAACATCCCCGTTATATGAATATTAATGAAGACATTTTACATGACACAGCATGCCAATTTACTTTCCTCAAAATTACAGGAAACTACTATTAATACTATATTTCATTATATTAAATCCTATTTTTTCAATTAAAATCTTTATACTTAATATTACGTTTATTAAAAGACATCTTTCGCATGTTATTTATTACTTTTTTTTATTTCCTTTTTTTTCATTCAAATAAATTATTATAACGTTCGATAGGAGAGATTAAACATTTTCGTAGAAATTATTTTCTCGATTCAAATTGAACTCTGAAATATTTGTATTAAAGATATTAGAAAGATCAAAAAACTTGAAAATGAAATAAGGACAAAATAATAATAAAAAAAGAAGAAAAAGAAAAGAAAAAATAAACAAAATGGCAAAAAAGCAATAGCATTTCATCTACTAAGAACGTATTTATAAACGGATCAAAGCATAGGCTTTGAATTGAATGAAATAAATGTTATAAGAGTATACAAGTAGATTTTAATGAGAATTTATGACGAGGAAAAGGAAATAATGCTAAACGTAAATGTTTAAAAACAAAACTAAACAAAAAAGAAAACAGCAAAGAGATAGAAACTAAATGTAACATTTTACATTGGAGAAGAAACGATAAACAAGAAAAAAAAAGGAAAAAAAAGAATGATTACTTATTTTCCTTTATCTTCTCCATTGTTGTAACCCAGTTTTAAAAAATCTTTCAATACGACGTTAAAGGTCAAATTAACGTGTCCTTGAACCTTCATACGTGTCACTGCAATACATAAAAACATTTATCTCCAGATTCATTTCCGATTCATCGTTTGATTCTTTCTTACTCGAATCTAATATTTTATTATTTTTATATAATAAATAAAATAAAATAAATTGTTGCAATATTAAATTAGAAAATCTTATTAATTTTTATAAATGCTTGTAAGAAATTGCGATTAGTATTAAATATTAATTACTCGTAAAATAAACGAGATTATACCGTATTTATTAGCAGCGGTTGTAATTAGTGGATTTTTTTCTTTTACTTTTTTTTTTAAATTAAATTATATCATATAACTTTTGTTTAACTCACGTTCTCGTCCACCACCAGTAGCCAATATTGCTGGATCTATTAATTCTGGTCTTTTACCTGTCAACCAAGCAGCTAATTGTTGCAACGTGGAAGATGATTGAGGAATGTAAATGGAAACTCTGTGTAAATAAAATAAAATGATCAAATAATGAAACATTCGAATGTGAAAGATCTTGTAGGAATTGCAATTGCTTTGTTTTTCCTAATTTTGTAACCGTCGATATTTAAACAATTAATAAACGCGACGAATTATTTGCGATAAAATATTTAAAATTATTGCAAATATATATTCGATATCTTATCGTTAATAGATACTTCAAATAGGTTTTTATTTATGATTTACTTTGTTCGATGATACATTTTAATTTCAATTTGTAAATTATTATCCTCTAATCTGTTGGACGATAAGAACGTAATGTATTTTTTTATTTTTTTTTCAGGTAGGAAATCCATCTTGCTAACTAATTAATTTTGTTTCTCCCCTTGAGATAAGAATAAAAAAAAAGAAGAATAATTTTGATTAGTACAAAATGAGCATTAAATTACCTTTTTTCGTGATATCCCGTTGTAAGAGGCAAATGACATACACCGTAACCTTCGATAACATCATGATCAAACATATCTAATCCGTAAATAGACATTATTAGTTGCGGCCCTGAAACATATATCATCGATTATTAAAATTAATTGTTATTGCACTTTTTTCAACAATTAATTAATGATTTTTTTAACAGATCAATAAAAAATTTTGTAGGTATATTTATTCTATTTGTTTTTCTTTTTTACTATATATCATCGATTATTCTTACATCCATGGGGATTTGTACTTTTGAACGTTATTTCCAACGGGAAGTTCCAAACAATAAGATTTCTTGGATCGTTACTGCATTTGCACATTTGCGTCAGTCCTTCTTCGATTCCCTAACAAAAAAATAATGAAATTTAATTTATAGTAAAATTATAAAAATATTAGGGTAGGTTGAAAAGTTTTGAGCTGCAACAAAGAGAAGAACTATACATTTTTATATATATATAAATAAAATTGTGTTCAACCAAAATTAAATTGCAACTATGTTAGATTCAAAACTTTTTAATCCACCACACGTAGAGTTTCGATGATTGAAACCTATTGTTATTCACAGCGATAACTTTGATATATTTCTATAGTAATTCTATTTTGTCATTTCTTTAGTTTCATATGAAATTAAATAGAAAAAACTCGTGAAAAATTTTAAATAAAATCATTTGAAATACATTACTACTAACAGCCACAACGCTCCATTCGGGACCAAAATGAAACCCGTATTTGCAATATGCATTATCGGTATTGTAGAACTCTGCATATTCAATAGAGCCTGTAATAGATAAAAAAAACTGCCCTTCCACTGACATTATCTTATAAACAACTGAATAAATATATTTCTTTATTGTGTGTGTGTGGTGTGCGTTAATTATAATCTATTATATTTAACAATAAGAACTAGGTTAGAACAACACAACACTTCTATCTTTACTAACTACGGATTGTATGTGGTATATTGAAAACGCGTTGCTATGGGATACGCGCATGCGGAATACTAACAGAAGTTATACTATATATATACCCATTAATCGCGCCAAATTTTAAAGATTGCAACATGCTATATGCACAATTGATTCTATTTTTATTTAAAATTATATATGTTATATACTATATATATATAATCAATCATATATAATATAAATCCTGTGCTGTAAATAAAATTCAAGAAACATAGATATTGTAATTTTTTGAAATCATTTCAGAATTTCTTATGTGAATAAACGAAGAATTATTAATTACGTTAATTGAAATTTGTTTTCTTAAGAATAAACTCTGATAAAATGAACAAAATTAATTTGGGAAAAATGTATCTTTTTTTAAAAAAGAGATATAACTATTAAAAGAGATGTGCATTATGATATGCATTTTTTTTTTTACATATTTTAAGGGTTTTAACTCAATTAAAAGGTAATTTCGATTTTGCATGGAATAGCCCATAAATATATAACGCAACATATTAAATCTAATAACAAAAAATAAACACGGAAGAATCATAATCAAATAAAATCATCGACTTGCAAATACTGTCGAGTATTTTATTTGTTCTTATTTCATTGACAGCAATTGTACATTTTTCTTTTTTTTTAAGTCAGTCAATAATCATATAATTTATATCATCCGTACTTAAAAGATTTTTACATAGACAATAAAACTACGTCTTGTGAATATGTACATAATAACTTGTCGGATAAAGACAAATTCTAATATCACCCTTTCGAGCAACCCCCTTGTTTATCATAAATCATGTATCATTTTACATTACATTTACATAGATGATTGTAAGTAAATCTACATGACATTCTAATAACTAACGTCTTTACCCAACGAGAATAAGCAGGAAACCACGATGAAAAAGAGATCGCTTAAAATCTATGGAATATGTTCTTTTGATAATTCATTATATACTTTAAGGTATCCTGAAAATTAATCGGAAGTATCGTTTAAATTTTACATATCTACATTAATGAAGTTGAAACAGTTCTAATGAAGAGTAAAACCTATGAATACAACAATGCTGTAACATTGAACTGTTTTTGAGTGGTTTATAAACGATCTATGCATAACTAGATAAAATTATGTACGTTTCTCAATTTGACATTTTATATTCACTTTCTTTTTACAAGAAAATAATGATCTTATTTTCCCGTGGCAATTTCCTTCATACGGTTCAAAGCGGAGCCAGCTTTGAACCAACCTATTTGTTGGTCGTTTAATGTGTGATTTAAACTAATCACATCAACCTTTCCATCTTTGTGTTTGATCTCTGCTTTCACAGGCTGCAAAAATAAAAAAGAATAGCATGTATAGTTATTCTTAAATTATGTATTAAACATTTTTATTTAATAGTTTACCTTGCCAGGAGCTATGTTATTCAGTCCAAGAAGACTGATTTTATCTGTAGGTTGAATTTTGTCATAATCACTGGGATTGGCAAACGTTAAAGGCAGTAATCCCTGTTTCTTCAAATTCGTTTCATGAATACGTGCAAAACTTTTTACAATAATGGCGCGACCTCCTAAATGGCGTGGTTCAAGAGCAGCATGTTCGCGAGAAGAACCCTCGCCATAATTTTCATCACCAACAGCGACCCATCTAACTCCATTTTTCTTATAATGTCTTGCTACATCAGGTACTGCACCCCACTCACCAGTTAATTGATTCTTTATTTTATTAACTTCACCATTTTCTGAATTAACAGCTCTGAGAATTGAAAATAATTTAGAATATATTATTGATTATTGAGTTATCATTTTGATTATATAAATATAATGCTAACCCAATAAACATATTGTTTGAAATATTGTCCAAGTGACCACGATATTTAAGCCAAGGTCCAGCTGCCGAAATGTGATCAGTGGTGCATTTTCCCTTTACTTTAATAAGAACAGTCAATTCTGTAAGATCTTTGCCATCCCATTTGTCAAATGGTTCTAGTAATTGTAATCTTTGACTTTTCGCATCTACATCAACTTTTACTTTGCCACCATCTGCGGGAGGTGAATCATATGTATCTACACCAGCATCAAATCCACGGTTAGGAAGTTCATCGCCTGTAAATTAAGAGAATGTTAATATATTATAGTTACTTAGCCATTTATAAAAGAATTATTGATTAATTATACTGATTATTGTTACTGATAAATAAAACTAGCAAATAACATTGTAGACTAGATATGGATTGTTTAATAATATTAATTTAGACAATTATATTAAAAATTAATAAATATATATAACTGACCAAAGGGATTATCCAAAAGAAATTCCTTGCCATCATTTCCTTTCAATTTATCTTTCATGGGATTGAAATCTAATCTACCAGCAATAGATAGGGCAGTAACGAGTTCTGGACTTGTAACAAATGCGTGAGTTGCAGGATTGGCATCATTACGTCCTGTAAAATTACGATTGTAAGACGTAACAATAGTATTCTTCTCTCCCTTTTTAACGTCCTTGCGATCCCATTGACCGATGCAAGGGCCGCAAGCATTAGCAAGTACGATGCCACCAAAATCTCGAAGAATCTCTGCCTAATAATAGAACAGAATATTATAAAAATATCTATTTCTTTTTATTTATTAATTATATTTATTTGATCTAGATTAAGAATTGGCGCAAGTCACGTAATTAAATAGTAAGTGAATATACGTATTATGTGTACCCAATAATTGGCACGGATTCAGAAATGTATACACATACAACATAAGTTATATATAAATATATAATAAGAATATTATTAAAATTATAAAAATTTTTAGACTAGTTTTAAAAATTAATCTTTAGAAATATAATTAAGCACATACACGTGGTTTATCGTGATATTAGAATTAAGATATCATTGAAATTACTAGTCTTTCTTAAAGATATTCGATAACTGGTAACAAAACTAATTTTAAAATAATGATTAAGTAACGATTAGTAATTTGAGTCAAAAGATAGCTTACAATTCCGTCACGTTCAATTGTAGCACGAATTTGTTCGGATCCTGGCGTAACATTAAATGTAGATTTTGCTTTTAATCCATGTTTTAAAGCTTGTTTAGCAATATTTGCACAACGACCCATATCTTCGTAAGAACTATTTGTGCATGAGCCGATAAGACCAACTTCGATTTTATTAGGCCAACCATTCTTTTTAGCGGTTTCACCTGAAACAAATTTATATTAAAAAACGAACTTTTCATTTTATACGAACAAAAATTAAAAGATATTATATATATATAATTAATTAATACCTAATTTAGAAATAGGATGAGCAAGATCAGGTGTAAATGGTCCGTTGACATGTGGTTCCAAGGTGGAAAGATCCAATTCGATAATCTGATCGTATTTAGCGCCAGAATCAGCAGTTAAAAGTTTTTCCCTATATTTATCAGCTTCACTGGCTATTTCACCACGACCCGTTGACTTAAGATAATCTTGCATACGATAATTATAAGGGAATACAGATGTAGTAGCACCGATCTCAGCACCCATGTTACAAATTGTTGCCATTCCAGTGCAGCTGATACTGTCAACACCGGGTCCAAAGTATTCAACAATAGCACCTGTACCTCCTTTAACGGTTAGAATACCAGCTACCTTCAAAATAATATCCTTCGGACTGGTCCATCCTTTTAAACCTCCTGTCAATTTAACTCCAATAACTTTAGGACATTTCAATTCCCATGGTATATTTGCCATTACATCAACAGCATCTGCACCACCCACACCAATACATAGGCATCCCAAGCCACCTCCGTTTGGTGTATGAGAATCAGTACCAATCATTAATAGACCGGGGAAAGCATAATTTTCCAAAATAATCTGATGAATGATACCCGAACCAGGATTCCAAAAACCAACTCCGTATTTAGCACCAGCTGTTTTCAAAAAGGTGTAAACCTCTTTGTTGATATCTTTTGCTCGCTTTAAATCTGCATCTCCACCAGTTTGAGCTTCGATTAAATGATCACAATGAATGGTCGATGGAACTGCTACTTTTGGTAAGCCTGTAAAAAATATATGTAAGTATAGTTTAACTAAACAATTATAAAGAGATAAGTGTCTACATTCTGAATTTGAATATTACAGTTATATAATAAGGCGTTAACATATTCGATAAACTTTCACCTATTTAAAATAAATAAAATCATCATTTATAAAACGATAAGAAAATTTACCAGAACTGATAAACTGTAACATAGCCATCTGTGCAGTTGCATCTTGCATCGCAACACGATCTGGACGCAATCTAAGATAACTTGTACCACGTTCGATTTCTTGTTTATTGGGTTCATCGAGATGAGAGTATAATATTTTTTCAGACAATGTCAATGGCCGGTTCAATCTGCAATGATATTTAATTATTATTAAAGAAAAGAATTCTCTCTTCGAACATAAATTTTTATAAAAAAAAAAAAAAAATAAAACTAGTAAAACTAAATCAAATTTAAAATTAATCTTTACCTTTTTTTAACAACCTTTAAAGTATTTTCTAATTTTTCATATGGTAAGTAGCTTGTCTTGTCGAACTTTGACATAGCTACTTTCGCAGCGCCAAAGCTTAAAGGACTTGCACTGAAGCATCTTTGTTGGATTTCTGTTGCAAAGACAGCAAATTTCTGAAAGAGATACATATCTTTCAGTAATTACAATATCGCAGTGATTAATAGAGGTTTAAGGATTTTGCCTTCAGATGGATATAAACATGTTTGTGAAATATGATGATCTATTGTAATACACGTGTAGCAAGAATTCAATCAGCACTGACATATGATATAAATCTCATTGGAAATATTTCAATTGCAATAATGCTTGGTATGAAAAAGTTCATATAATTTTATCTGCTATGTATATTGTCTGCTATTAATAGATAGGACTACGTTGCTAAAAATATACAATATCAACATCCTCATAATACAAAATTGTAATATATGTATATACATATATGATATCATTAAATATTTGTAAAAAAACAATTAAAAATAAAACAATTAATTACTACAGATTTTATTTTATTATTATTGATATTATTAGGCAATTTCCTGCGAAAAATATGGTCAAATAAAATGACTTGCTAAAGATAACGATAAAAAGGTATGATTTCGCAATTCACGAGTGACTCTATTGTTGTAAGAAAAATTTTATCAGTTGATTTTAATTCTATTTATTTATGATAATGTGTCTTTATTTAGATTGATACGCCATTGAAGAATATTTACTAGACTTATTTTTTATTTTTTTCGAAATCCTACATATTACATAAGAAATTCGTATCATATTCTACGAACGTTCTTCTTTGAAGTAAGAAAGAGATAGCATCATTCATTTAACGCGCCAATGAACGATACACTATACAATGTTCGAAATTATAACCTAAAAATATAGAAAGAGCATGATACATATATCTACATTGACTTTCCGATCTCGATTATATAATAAGACTTTGAAAAGAGATGCATTTTACATTTGAATAAATAATATAAAAAAAAATTATATAAGTACATAAAAAAAAATAATAATAAAAAAGACACATGTATTCGTAATGTACAAAAAGAAGGTATTTAAATTACCAGCTGAAAACATAACGTCGAATTAAGAATTCAATTAAAGTAGATTGTGACAGTATCATGTGACAAATGAATTTGTTTTTCTCTTTCATTCTTTTTAAACTCTTTTCTATTTCATTTTACACTAAAACAATGTATGACTCTAAATGTTAGTATAATAAAAAGTTTTCTTAATAATGACAACTAAAACTATATAAATGAGATAAGAGATAAAGTTAAATCGATAAAAAGAATTTATTTGAGAATCGTTTTTATTTATCGATTTCTTCTTATTGGTCATTATAAATTTTGGCACATAACAATACTATTTTAGTGTCACCAATGACCTCTCTAAAAAAAAGAGGTCAAGTGAATGAGTTCGAGAACAAACTCGTCCGTCAATAGAATATTCTTATGCAAACGCGCTCGTTAATTCGTAATCGGGGATCGATAACATTTTCATCAATGTACTTTTTTCTGTTCATTCATTAAATCGATAATCGTTAATTAAAAAAATAAAAGGCATACCTGTGCACTTATAATTCGCGTACAATACGACATCGTTGTTATCTTCGTCAGTGTAGCAGATTCTCGTTCTAAATGTGAATAGCGCAAGCGTCGATGGATAAATTTGCAGAATAAAATATGATTTTTTTTTGACTCTCGTGGCAGTCCTTCTCAAACCGGCCACTAGAGAACTGACGGAATAAACCAACTGTGTGCTAGTATCAAAGTGAACAATATTACGCGCATGCGCTGTCAAAATAAAATCATGAGAATAATACAGTGGCTACATCTCTACTACTGTTCTGTTCTTTATAGTAAATCTATCTTATCAACAATTGATTTAAGAATTTTATCTGTCAATTTTGATAGATTATCGTACGAATGCTAGCAAGGAACTATAATAGCAGAAAAAAATGAATAAATGCTCTTAATTGCACACTATTTGCTCAATCAAAATCCATAATTTTGCTCAGTTTATTTATTAATTATTTAATTAGTTATTAATGATTGAAAATACAAAAATTTGTTTTCCTATTTTTAAGCAAAGCAACGAAGTTTGCAACAGCAGAAAAATTGCTTATTATTTTGCTCAACTTTATTTTATCAAACATTTTTTATTTATCTTTAAATAAATAAGATCTAAACTGAGTTTAAATCTGTTTTACCGACAGAGATATTAGAAAATTGTTTTACTGATCGAGTTTTAAAACTGTTTTACCATCAGAGTTACAAAAATTAAAAAACCGCGAAAATAAAACAGGCAATTATTAATTTTAAATAATCAATTAGTTTGTTATACACTGCAAATATTTTTTTCTTTCTGCGGTAAAAATTTTTTTTTTATTGTCGTTACTTTGTTTTCCGACCGAAATTTCATCTGCTTTTCATAAAAACAATTAACATAGAACACTGTAGTCATCTTTAAGAAATAAAACGACAAGAATTTTTCCATATAAATACATAATATAGGAACTTATACTTTCATAGTTGGCATGAGAAATGTCAATTCGTATGTTTCAATTTATTTTAATTCTTTCAGAATGGCTATAGTGCTATATGTCAATTTTTTTCTAAATATCTGCAACGAGGTTACTTTTCTATATGACTGTGCTTTTCTGTGTAGTTTGACAAAGTTTTTGTGTATACTCTCTTTACTTTATTCCTTATTTTTTAAATATTAACAAGGAACATGTTACACGTAAACATTACATTTAAATATTTAATTTTCTTTATATTATACCAATGCTATGTTACATTATACTTATTCATAGGTTTGGTAGAATACAGCATGAATACATATACTCATTGTCAGTTTATTTGTGTTTACTTTTCTATATCGTAAAATTTTATATTATATTCATTCTTTAAAAATAAATATCAATAAATAATAATTAGCAACATGCGAACTTCTATGCTCTATTGAGAAACACGTGTACCCTTATTTCCATTTTCTTTTTCGCCTTTCTCCACATAGTCCTTGATCGAATCATGAATCATCGTAACAATTTTTACACCCTTCTCTTTCTCTCTTTCTCTCCGAACATTTCCTAACTCCTGTTGTGAGGAACATGATTTTCTTAATATACAACGATTGTATTTTTAGAAAAGAAAGAAAAGAAAATATTTTCATTAACGTTATCTTAACGTATACATAAATCCATCTCCCCCCCAATATTTTGTTCACGAGATCAGTTTCGCGGATAATTTACGAGGTATCTTGTTTTTGATAAAATCCGACTTCTCTTATCGATATTGCTATCATTTTATCATGATCATGAAAAGAGAAAGAGAAAGAGAAAAAAGAGAGAGAGAGAGAGAGAGAGAGAAAAAAAAAATTAAATAAAAAAGGAAATAAGAGAAAGGCAAGAGAGAAAAGACAGTTTCGAGGTGTGGTCAAAATGGCGGCAAATCAAACGAACCTACTATCTCTTGATCCCCATAGAAGGTTCGTGGGTCATCGTTAACGATTCCGATTATTTTTCCCGATAACGATCGATCGAACTCTAAAAAAAAAAAAGAAATTGTAAATCGTCCTAACCTACCGCAAAGGATACTAGTAGGAAACGTTTATGGTGAAGATAATACATCGACATCGTTGTAAACTTATGTATTATTAATATCTCGTCGTAAGAATATTACCATTGAGAAATTCCTGATCCTTGATTATGAACAAAAGGTGAACACGACGAAGAAGTCATAAGATTTGTTTGCATCGAGGTTATCGAAATGAATATCTTTTTTATTTTTAGATTTATATCTAAATATAAATCTAAAAATAATAAATTATTTCGAAATTATATGGATAATAATAAATTGTGTTAAAAGAGTATATATATATAAAATAAAAATAATCCTAAATACACATAGGTTAATTTTTGCTTGTACCTTTTTCTAAAGCAATTTTATTATATCCGTTCGCATTTTTCAACCCCACCTAAAAAAAAGTGAATAATTATAGTTAATAGTTATGTCGCTTGACCGTAAGGCAAAACACCGTTCATAGTGATCCTGGGGGCACATTCGAGCACTTTTAAGTATTACTTACATATCGAACATCGATCATTGTTATATCCACCCAAGTTACGCGTTATTGCATAATTTCTCTCTTTCATGTGACATTCCATTTCTTTAGGCTAACTGCCATAAGTTAGCTGTACTTTTTGATTATACTATACATGATACTTGATTTTGTAACTTCAGTATTAAAGAGAGAGAGAGAGAGAGAGAGAGAGGGAGAGAAATTTCGAATCTCTCAACACTCAAACGTAAAGTGCCGATAATGTCTTTTGTTGATCTTCGGGATTCGAGTCAGTTGATTGCTGCGAAACCGATAATTGGTCCAAGTAGTACTTACTGTGAATAAGATCGATCACATTTTTCGCATCTGTAGGGTTTTTGAGAGGATATATATGTCCTCTCGTTGAACGAGTGGAAAAAGAGAAGGCTCGGAATCGGTCCTTGACATGATTAACTTCGTTGTGGGTGGACCATACTAACGTTTCGACATACTTTTTTTTTTATACCTCTGTGATCCTGTTTCTCCTTGTTGTTCAGACATTTGCTTTCATTTTCGTACCTTGTTCGACCGGTCCAAAAAAAAATACTTTTTATACTCTTGATTGTAATTCAATTAAACACGATTCTTTTGGTCAATTAAAACTCGTTGATTATTTTTATATTAAAAGGAAATGTAATCGAGTTTTTATGTTAAAATATTATTTCTATAATGTTCCTAATTTTAGAATAGAGGGGTCGTAGGGTCCCCATAAGAGATATTTTTATAAACTATTATGCAAGTTGCTAATAAGTTGTATCTTCGCAGCAAAGTAATCCACGTAAATATATCAATTTCGCGTATTTGACAATGCAGATGTCATTCAAAAATTTAATAATCTTATTAATTAAATTTATTGCTCATTAAACGGTATACAACAATACCAATTTTAACGAACGAATTTATAATAACTCAGCTAACACTATCGATCTATAACATTACTTTTTTTTCTTAAGTATTATTCTCGTAAAAAAAATTTATCAAATTTACGATCGGACCTTTTGGATTGCGGATGAAGCCTTGAGGAACAGAGTAATAAAACTTCAATATTCGACGACGTTTAACGCAACCAATAATTAACTCTCTTACCAATCTGATGTATTCAACATATAATATAATACACACGTTCTCAAGATCTCTGACACATCTTTTTTTTCTTCTTCTCTGTAAATATTTATCGATGTATTTTACAGCGTAATTAAGTTGACAGAAAAAAATAATTGTACCCCGTATAATTGTAGTATTCGTTAACAAAAATTACGATCGAAAAATAATACGAATTTGAAAAGAGTACGAAGTCGTTAAATAACGATGAAATAAAATTAGAAAGAAAGGAAAAGAAAAGAAAAAAGAAAAAATAAAACCAAATAAAAAAAGAAAAAGAAAAAAGAAAGGAACGAGGCAAAAACCTAATCTTTCATTTTGAAAAGTTGAAGCATTGCCCCGAGTAGTAGTAGTAGTAGATCAAAACGAACTACTTTCGCTGACGTAGCCTGGAGGCATTTTTTCGGGTCACGTTTAAATCCAATGGTAAGGTAAAAGGAAACGGATGCGCTTCTGTCCATGAAACAGATTTCCAAGCGAAATCGAAAGCTTCTTCTTCCGGATATAATTATGCTTATTTGGGAAATGTTAAATAACTAAATAAGCTCAGACTCATCAGTAATTATGTTAGTAATACGAAGCATGGAAATATATTAATAAAAAACAAGAAGGAAAAAAAAAGTGATTTTTTCTTTTAATTTTATCCGATATATTATATCGAATTAATTTGATCGTTTATCAAAAAAACCCGTGTCGTCCCGTAGTACATAAAAGTTATTTAATTATCCGATAATCAATAAAGAAATAATCGATAAAATTTTTGCCCATTAAATATAATAAAGATCGTTGTCCTTATTTATAATCGACATTAAAACCTTCACTTCGTGGCACGATTTAAGAGTGCGAAATTGCAATAATAAAAATCGTTTGACAGTGGTGCTCGACGGTGCGTATCGATTGGTCGTTGTATTTTTTTTCGACCTTTCTGATCAATCGTGCTGCACAAATTATTGCATCGGGCAATGCGGTTAAACGTTATTTCTTTCTCTTGGACAAAATCTTACAACCAAAATAATCCCTTTAAATGAATTTAAACAAATGCATATATTATAATATAATCAAACGGCTAATTACGCACTTTAAAAAAAAAAAGAAAGCTAGAATACACAAATAATATTTAAAATTCAATACAAGTTCAGTAAACAATTATGGGAAATCATTGCTTTTTTTTTTCCTTCTTTATTAAGCGTTAAAAGCATTTACAAAGACATCGTAATTTCTTATTTTAAAATATGTTAAATAAAAGATAATCAAATTACAATTGGATTTAAGATAAGACCGTAAAGAAAAAAAAAAAAAACAAAATTCTTCACACGCTTATTACCACAAAATTACGTAGGTATTTATGTTACTTGTATAATGATTCACTCGTTATACGACTTCGTACGACGAGTTTTGCAGATAAGGCGAATTCGAGACGCGACTTATTGCGTTGGCAAATAAACCGATTTGTAATTTGTACCAACTTCGTAAAGTGCGTAAGTAGTTGTGTCTCCTGTAAGGTACATGAATCTATCTTCTCCCGTTAGCAAGCAGGTGAC